CCCCCCACCACTATCACCCCCACATCAGCACAGGAGCAAATGTCTCAGGACCCTTGTTCCTCTGACTCTCTCCCTCCAGACTTAAAGTACAGACACAAATATCTAATGGGTTTAGCTGAGGTCCCAGGTCCAAGTTCAAGCTGCTCAAGCCTCAAGGGCACAGGTCTCATTTCCTGGATGGAGAAAGCCCCACCTCCACCAAGATTCTACAGTGGAAGCCTTCTCCAACACCAGCAAAGGGCCCCTTCTATGGATGGACTAATTCTGACTAAAGGAAATGAGGAGTTCTGCTCTGCAGTAGGAGCAGGGAGGAAAATGATCAAGACCCAGGGTGCTCCTAGAATACCTCTATGTAATGCCACTTAAGTCACAGTAAAGGATACTGGAAAACCACCACAACCCCACCCAAAAGGGGCACTCCAAGGACTCAGATTTTGAGTCTATACTATCAGCTGAGGTGCTGGCTGATGCCAAGGTGGGGCATAGAATGGCCCGGAGAGACAAAGTCATAGATATAGACTTGACCAGTTGCATTACAAAGGACTGTAGTTTCTACCCATGTTTCTATACTTGCAATGAGAAAAGAATAGTATCTTTTACTTAGTCAGAAAATGTTTTGATTTTACTCATTTTAATATTCATAAAAATACACTAGTGCTGGGAACCAGCAGTTAGCGTAATGGCTATGTCACTGGACTACCACGTAGTCGACCGCGGTTCGCGTCCCAGACCCGGTGGCTTAAAACTCACGCTGGATACGTGTGCATGTGTGCTCAAGATCCCGAGAGGAGAATGGAGAAGAAGGGATTGTGGCGTGACCATCCTCCCTGGGGGGTGATTTCTCGCTTTCTGTCTCTCTGTCTCTCTCTGTCTGTCTGGCGAGTGGCCGTGCTATCTTTTACTTAGTCAGAAAATGTTTTGATTTTACTCATTTTAATATTCATAAAAATACACTAGTGCTGGGAACCAGCAGTTAGCGTAATGGCTATGTCACTGGACTACCACGTAGTCGACCGCGGTTCGCGTCCCAGACCCGGTGGCTTAAAACTCACGCTGGATACGTGTGCATGTGTGCTCAAGATCCCGAGAGGAGAATGGAGAAGAAGGGATTGTGGCGTGACCATCCTCCCTGGGGGGTGATTTCTCGCTTTCTGTCTCTCTGTCTCTCTCTGTCTGTCTGGCGAGTGCACGTGCCCTATAGCAAAGAAACCTCTCCAAAAAAAAAAAAAAACACTAGTGCTGTAAAAATATATTATAGCACTATTCTATGTGAAAAATCCAAAGTCTTCTTCCTCACTCCTTTTCCCCAAACCTCTATGCCTCCCCAGAGGTAATCAATACCATCACTCAGCCATGTAGCCTTCCAGATATTTTTATGCATTTTCATAGAGTTTGGTTTTGTAAGGTTTTATTTTACATTAAGACTATACACATTGCTCTAGACTTTGCTTTGTTTTGAACTTATCATTATGTTTTATAAATCTTCCCATATAAGTACATACAACTCATAATTGCTGCATAGTACTAATTCCATACTACTAAAGTAACCACACTAGGTTGAAGGACATACACCACTTTACATGTTAGTAGATAGCTACTACAATCTGCTCTCTAAAAAGGCTACAATAATTTACACATACCCCAACTGTACGAGTCTTCTCATTTCTACTTTTCCTAGCCCAAGTTAGATAGTATCATGAAGAAAAAGTACTATTTTCTGATGGAAACAATATGCTTCATTGGTGTGTTCATCTACATGTCACTGATTACCCATGAGGTTAAACATTAACAATATTCAGGCTATTGGGGATGTGGGAAAACAGCTCTCATAAACTCTTGGCAGGCACATGTATCATTATAATCACATTGAAAAGAGATTTGGTAATATCTAGTTGGGGTGAAGATGCTTAAACCCTAGGACCCAGATATTTCTTTTCCACGCACTTACCCTTCGAAGGTATACATGGGTACACATGTGTACAAAGGGACATCTTTTTAGTATGTTCATTGCCACAAAATGCTGGGAAGAACCTACATATCTGCCAATAAGGGAATGGATAAATAAACTGGGAATTCATACAAGTGGTGATTTCATATACAGCAGTTAAAATGCATGAAATAGAACTACATGAAACAATATTGGGGGAAAAAATTAAGCTGCAAAACAATACATGGATTTTATCAAGTATGTCCATTTTGAAAACACAAATACTCTATATTGATTATGGACATGTAAACACACACATATATACACACATTTACATATACACATACAGGCACACTTGTATAGATGTCTAAAGACATGTACAAGGAGTAAACACATGATTTTCAGGGTTGTGCTTACCTCTGTGGAGGAAGGAAGGGAAATAGGATGGAGTGAGAAACTTCACTTGTGCCTGAAAATTTCATTTATTGGAGAGAGAGAGGAGGGTAGAGAGAAGAAAGAAAAAGAGCAAATATGGCCAAATTTTGAAACCTGTTCACTCTGTGTAGGTGGGTACCTATATTTTCCTGTGGGACTATCCGGCATACATTTTTGTATTTCTATCTGTGTCACTGTATTAAGGTATATACTTGGCATACAGCTTTATATCCGCTCCCTGTGTTTTTATTCCTACCATTGATCCGTATTTCTATCAGGCTTTCTGATTGTTTCATCCCTTCTATCTTTCTTTCCTCTCTTCTTTCTCTATTCTTTCTTTCCTGTAGTAGTTTGACAATTATATACCTTATTCCCACTTGAAAAAAAATCATCACCCTCATTTGTTTTTGCTGTTGTTGGGGTCAGCATTTTCAGTGAAACTAAAGTTTTTCTGCTGTTGAAAACACCAAAAAAACTTTATTTTTGATGCAAATGCAAGAGATCAATTACAAAATCATTTATTCCCACTATTTCAGACAAATCCAAACAATTCCACTATGCCATGTAAAACCAAAGAAGAACTTTAATAAGCTTTTACGGCACTGCAATTACAGGAACATTAACCCATAACATGCAACAAAAGTGATTTTGCTTTTTGGACATATTGAACAGATAAACTTGACATTACAATTAACAGCAATATATTCTACTGAAGAAAACAAATATGATTTATTTGAACTTCCAGGTTAGAAAATGTATGCTTTTACTGCAATCTCAAGTAGCATTTAGAAAGTTTAGTTTTTCCTTTCTAACCTCTAAAAGACATTATGACTTTTAATGCAATCGTACACAACCGTTTTCACATTGAAAATAATCACAAGGAATCGACAGGTTTAGTCTAATTGACCAATTGATCTGATTTGATTTCCATTGCTAATTTTGAGAGGGCTCCTGCAGTATTGTGGATTTCAGATGGGGAAAATCATCAGACCAGGAGTAAACAGCCTTGGTCTTTAAAGTGGAGGAGGGAACATGCAGCGGCACACGGGGCAGGTGCCTGACTTCTGAAGCCAGATGGACACACATGGCTTGTGGAAATAGTGGTGGCATGGCAGCTCAGTGGCCACCTCCCCCTTCACATATTCACTACAACAAATAGGACAACACATTTCCTGGCCCACCGCACCGTGATCTTCAGTGACCAGGATCTCGGGAAGAGCATCGATACTCTCCTTGCTTGCTGGTGGGTTGGCCACCTCTACATCCACCGCCAAAGACTCCAAGTGTGCCAGGGCAGTTTCCATTGCCTGGGCCAGGCGTTCTTCCAGGGCCATGTAGGTGAGGAACTGAGGATCCACGTAGGAGATGGCTTCTGCCACTCCCAAGCCATCTGCAAATCCATCAAAGAGGCTCCAGTCCACCTCTAGGTCTTCACTCACGCTAGAGTCATCTTCAAGGTTGTTATTTCCATCCAGCATGAATACCCCGGGCTGCATCAGCTCATGACCAGAATCATTATCCCCCTCACTGCTACTCTCATTCTCATTGTACTGGAGCCAAGGGATTTCTCCTTCTTCCAGGGATGCCTGTTCCTCTTCTCGCAGAGATGGTTCTCGAACTTCTTCAAGATAATTACTGTTGTTGCTGCCAGCACTGCCATCGCCACCAGCACTGGCACCAGTGCTGGCACCAGTGCAGGGAATGGAGTTGGGGCCAGGGCCAGGGCCAGGGCCAGGGCCAGGGCCAGTGCTGGCGCCAGCACTCCCTCTATCTGGCTGAGGTTCCCGCTCCTCTTTTCCGGGCAGGGTCTCCCAGCTTTCACCACTGGAGGACAGGGTTTGCTCTTGACTTCGATACTTGCGACGCAGAGCAGCGATCCACTCTTTGTCACTGTCAGAGTCTTCATCACAGTATTTGTAGTAATCATCACTGTATGTCCAGAAGTCAGGGTCGGCCATGGTTCGACGCCGTCTTGGCACCTTCTCTGGTTTCACTTGGTCATTCCTGGCTTCCTTCTTGTCTTCAGGGTACTTTGGCTCAGAGTAGCCACTTGAGCTCTCACCTCTGCCTCTTCTGGATAGGCCATCCGAAAGGCCCTCTTCAGCATTGGCAGTATCCCTCCTTCTGGAAGTACTGTGTGGCATATCATCATCATCATCAGTATCAAAAAATATTTTTGGTTTCATGCAGTTTGGACTGGCCAGATTTCTGATTTTGGGCCTCACCACTGGCTCCTCTGCACCCTTTGGGGTGTTTTCCCCATCACCACAAATACTCACAGGAGCCCTGCTGGGATGCGCAGGTAAATTTTGTTCCTGCCGCTCCCTTTCCAAGCTGTCACCATGTATAGCCACCTTGCCTTCAACCGAAGATGTCTGAGAGGCCACACTGTTTTGCTGCAGGAACTCAGCTCTGCTGGCAGAGCACCTTGCTGCAGGGGCTGGCTCTACATTGTCAAGCTCCTCTCTCCCATCACTGTTAAAACTAGAGAACTGTGGAGATGCCCCAGCCAAAGACCTCACCCCTTTCTCTTGGTCATACAGCTTATCATCCTTAAACTTGCCAGTTTTCCCTCTCACCGGCAGTCGCTCTACAGGCCCAGCCCCCTCCTCCTCACTATCATCTGCCCCATAAAAGTCAATATGTCCATAAGTCATTCCTCTTCTGCTCCCCGAAGCCCTGTACTCTCTTGGTGGATACCTGGAATAGTCCTCATTATCAACATTCAGGCTGGTTCCGGAGCTCTCACTATCATCCCAACTACGACGAGTGGTGGAAAATGGCGATCGACTCCTCTTGGTGGCTTGGCTGGGGGCTGATCTGTGCATTGGGACTTCAGATGTCGTCTTTCTCTGGCTGGCAATCCTTTCCTGCGTGGATGGCCTGAAACTGACATAAGCATGCCTTCTTCCATACCTCCTGCCTATATTGGACTGATACCCTCCTACTTGTTAGGGCCATACAGGCTTTTCAGATTCCCTCCTACTTGTTAGGGCCATACAGGCTTGCTAGATTCCCCACCCACTGCTCAGACTTAGTAGGGTTCCAATACAGTTGGAGCTTGGGTGGAAAGGCTCCGGCTCCCTGCACACATTTTGGAGATAGGGAAGTCAAATCAGTTCAGAATAAAGGATCAGAGAGATTTATTTTCACTTCTGCAGGCAGGTAACAAAGAATAAGAGGCCTTTAAAACTAGTTTCACTTTCTTCTAAGGCTTCTAAGTAAAATTCCAGCGACTGTCAGGTGTAAACCTGGAACACATTTTTAATGTTGGCAAAATGATTACAAGACTGGATTTGTAGAAAAGCCAGACTTAGAGGAGAAGTTGACAGAAGGTGGGGAGTGACTAGATACTTGGAAGGTGGGTGAAATTATGCCAATGTGGGAAGAGGAAAGACCGCTAAGGTTTTTCTTTAAGGGGTGGGGTGCGGGGGGTGATCTGAGCCCTGCAGACATACACAGAAAATGCAAATTGGAACAGAGTGGAACATAGAGATAACTGTGTGTACGTGAGTGTCCATGTGTCTATGAAGAGGAGAGGGACAGATAAAAGGGGGACCAGCAATTCAGCAATGGAGGGATGTCAATGACCTATTCTGGATGTAGACATGAAAACAACAGGCATGAGCAGAGTGATTTTAGAGAAGAGGGATGTGTATAAGTATGAGAGAATGTGTGTGTACGTAGTTCTATGTGTGGCAGCTGGAACTACGGAGGGACATCTGTGCTTACATGTATGACATGGGCAGGGAAGGGTACAGTGGCAATGGAAAGAAGTACCTGGGAGTTTGTGTGTGTGTGTGTGTGTATGTATGCTCATCCAAATAGAAGGCAACAATGGAGAAATGTCAGTGTGTGCAAACGCAGCAGGCCTCCATGGGGGACGGGGGAAGTCAGCACTGGAGAGGGATGTATGTGGTGGATGTAACAGAAGTCAGCAATCAAAGAACTTCTGCATGTGTGAGTATCATGAGTGGAGGGGTCTGAGTAGGGGGTAGGCTGGCATTCCCAGAGAAGGACTTACATTAGTGTGAGTATGTGCACTGCAGGGACCAGCAAAGGAGAGATGTCTGTGCACATATGTGGCAGACAGAGCAGGAGAGAGCATCTGGGAAGGGTATGTGAACCAGATTGTGCAGCTACATGTGTATATCAATGATGTCCTTCTGTATGTATGTGGCAGGCAGGGAGAAGAAGAGTGGACCTGGAGGGTGTATATGTGTACGGGTGTGTGTGTGTATTCGCTAGGGCATGCAGTGGCAGAGGAGGCCGGGGCTGGTTCTGGAGGTATATATGTAGGCAGAGGGTAGGGGAAGGCACTGGAGGCTATGAAGCTGTATGTGCATGTGTACATGTGTGCTGGGGGAAGGGACTGGAGGATGTAAGGGTGTGTGAGAGGGCGTGCGCGTGCGTAGGTCTGCGCATGCGTGGGGGAGGGGACACACTGGAACCTTGAGGATGGAGCGCCAGGGAGGGGGCTGCAATGGATGGGGCTCCCTGTGTGTGTAAGCGCGCACGCGCGTGCTCGCGAGACAAGGAGTGTGTGTGGGGGGGAGAGCGCAATGTCATAATAAGGGATGAGAAAACGTTCTCAGCTCAAATGGCAGACCCAGTGTGGCAAAAATGGGGGTGGGGGGAGAAAGAAAAGGGAGTATGTGTTTATAATTTTTCCCTGAGAATAATTTTTTCTCACTATTTTTTTCCCAAGAACAGTATTTTGACATAAAAACATGAACTATTTACCATTTGGCAAAAAGACAATAAAATGGGGGAAATGGGGGGTTTAGAAAGGCCTTGGAGTGTTCTGCAAAGAGGCCTAGGAGAGGAAGGAGAG